CATTAAATTAAATAACAAAAATGTTATTTCAATGCATATATAGCCATTTCCGATTTTAACAGAACTCGATTTTAACACATATTTTTGACAGCACCAATGACATGTTAAAACCGGGGCCGTTCTGTATTTTATTTGTAATGTATTTTGTTTATACTATATATAAACTACTGTATATTTTACAGTATGTTTTTATACACAGATGACCATGAGCATTTTTTCTATAACAACTATGTGTACATTACTGATTACTAATGATTATTAAATTACTGATTTGCCAAAATTAAAAATTGATTTGATCCTGCTGTGTTTGTCGTAAACACAAATATTTAAGTTGTTGTTTTTCACATCAAAATGTTTAGAAAAACTTAATGTTTAATCCAAATGAAAATGTTTTTCGCATTTTGTCAAAAACAATTTTTGAGTTTGATTTATAAATCCATTGATTCAAAAATTAAATCAACGCTATAAACAACGCCTACGGGTAAAATGTATCAAGATTGATATTCTAGCATTTATAACACTCAATTTTAGTTATATACTATTTTTGTAGCCAAAGTTACAGTTATGTGTTTTGAATTTATAATTTATAAGATATAGCAAATTGTTTTGGAAGTGTGCTTACATTTATTCTTGGTGGAATTTTTTAAAAACCATTTCTAAATGTTTAAGCCTATAAATAAATCTATAAATCTATTTTTAAAATGCAATTATAGCGCAAAATTCTATGTGTTTTCATATTTATTTTGCCATTAAATGTGATATTTTATCGTTTGATAAATATTTGTTTAGTATTTCTGTACAAATAAAATATAATATGCGGTTAAATGAATTGAAAAAACATTTAGTTTTGTATTTAAATAAAAGTTAGTTTTAATAAAAAATATTTTTATGTAAATTTAAAAAGATCGCTTATAATAAAATTCTACAAAAATTGCAATTGAGTTTTACATATATTTATTATCACATTATAAATATAGTATTTTCTAATTGTAAATAAAACATAATTAATTTGACTCGTGTTAAGTTTTAAATTTAAATTTTAACACAAGTCAAATTAATTATGTATTATTTACAATTCAAAAATACCATATTTATAATGTGATAATAAATATATGTAAAACTCACTCAAAATGTAAAAGTCAACTTTTTTATTTTTAAAACATTTAAAAGTCTTATAAACATGTTAAATAAATTGGCAAAAATTTTATATAAAGTCAATTCGTTTGCTTTTACAGAATATTCTGTCGTTAGAGTAAAGGTTTTATATTAGTTTTGATTTATAAATAGATATTTAATTGTACTGAATTATTAATGAAGCATCAATTAAAATCACCAATATCTTTCTATACATATAATGTAATCATATTGTGCTATAAATAATTTGTTTTTATAATTAAATAATAATTAATGTCATTTTTATGGTATATTAGTGCTATTTTTAAACACACATGGTATATACGATCTCTCTCTCTCTCTCTCTCTCTCTCTCTCTCTCTCTAATGAGATTAAATTAAAAATTAAAATTGATATTAAAATATAAGATATCCAATAGGGTTATAAAAGGGTTATTTATTATTCATATTGTTAAATTGAGTATTTTTAAAATTATTTTATTTTTTATGCATAATTTAAAATGACTTATAAATATGGAGATTAATTTCACTTTTTAATGCTATAAATAGTTTAAACGCTAATTATTATGTGAATTATGTATACAAGAGTAGTTTTACAATAATTGGATAAAATTATTATCAAATATCAAATAAAAACAAAATTTAATGTCGGTGAAATATGTGAGCAAAGATATTATATTATAATAATAATACCAAAAGCATAATTTTTAAAATTTATTTTATAAATTTTAAATTATTTGGCACTCTATTCAATTTAAAAATAACCTTATTAGAATAACAGAATATTGTTAATGTTTTAATTTATTTTAGAAAATATATACATGTATTAAATATGTTTTAGTAAGTTTATTTAATTTTGAGAGAGAGAGAGAGAGAGAGAAAGAGAGAATTTTATAATTAAAATATTTCAACATGTAAATCTTGTTTAATATTACAAAATGATTATATTTAAAATAATTTATTATCATTATTTTAATTATATTTTTATTTTATTTGAGTTACTTAAATAATTATTATTTGTGTGAAAACTAATATTAGGAAATATTTTTATAATGATAAATCAACGTTATAGTTTTATTTCAGAGAATTTGTAATTAAAATGTGATAATTAATTACAATATTACATAACACGAATGACAATTATAAATTATATTTTAATTAAATCACTCCCTATAGAGAAATAAAGTATTTTATTTGTGGATTCGCTAAATAAAACAAAATTTAATTTTGACTGTTATTTGTAACAAAAATTAATTATTAATACTAAAAATAACAATACAATGTATATTAAATTTGTCTGGTATTATTTTCTTACATCTAGCTAAGTTTATGATATCTGAAATAGAAAAGGCATCTACATTAATTAACACAAAATTCTCAGCTAAACTAAAATGTAATTAAGATTTTGTCGTAAAAGCGAACTAAAAATATATTAAGGAAACTATTAGCAGACTATACCGTGAAAAATGTCAGTTAAAAACAGTATTTATTATCTCTTATTATATAAAAAAACTTTAACACAAAGACGACTAAAGTATCGATTAGTTATATAAGATATATCTTAGTCATACGATAATGAAAAACTTAGTTATGTTTAATATTTAATTATTTTTATCACAGATTTGGTGTAGATTTTTGTATTAGGTTTGGATGAAAAATCAATTTTATTTATACCCAGACTCTCTCTCTCTCTCTCTCTCTCTCTCTCTC